ACACACTCATACCCTTTCTAAATGTTAGTACGGTACGGAGCCGATTAGTTGACTATATTATCCACCAACTTTGTGAAAGGATGTATGCTCATTAATAGGCTTTTGTACTATTCACTGTAGCAAAGAACAAGCCTTCCCCTTAAGGCTTGACACGCGTTCTAACCCTACCACGTTGCATTAAATATGCATTTAATGTGCATTTAATGCAATGGGTATAAATAGATGTGTTCTATCTCCATGCAGAGATACTCTTACTCCTCGCTCTTAACTTACTTACGCTTAAGTAAAAGAACACACACATCTAAGAACAAATACGTTCATCTTCAAGAGCAAGTTAAAATCCCTTTGTTGTATTCTAAACAGTTCTTTCCCAGATAGAACTTACATTCTTCTAAGTCTTTAACAACAAATCTTTTCTTTATTTGCTAAGAATTAATGTGTAACTTTAGATTGTTTAGATAGGTTCTATCTACCTTATCTTTCCGCAAACAATCTTGTAAAATTTGTATTGATCCGTCTATCAATATATATTAAATTTGAAAAGTTTTCTGTGTTTGTATTCATTCCCTCCCCCCCTCTACAAACTGTTGTTCACATCTTGTAGACCCTAACGAGACCAACATAAACTACATTTCTTGGAAAACCTAACTTGAAGCAACTCTCCTTGGCTATGATTTACATAAATTCATAGATGGTTCTTACCCCGCTCCTTCAAAGACACTTACCACCAATAATACCACTGCTACCAATCCTTCTTATACCACTTGGATCCATCAAGACAAACTCATACTTGGAGCTCTTGTCGGAACCCTTTCTTTGTAAAACCTAACTTGTCCCTCTCATCTCTCAATGCCCTACCACCTATGATGCATGGCAAACTCTTGCTAAGACCTATGCCAATCCCTCTAAAGGGCATCTTAAAAAATAAAAGATCATTTTCGTAATATTACCAAGGGAACTTGTTTTATCTCTGACTATATGCAAGAAATCAAGAGTTGTATTGACCAACTAGTGTCTCTTGGTCGCCCACTTGACCCCGATGACATCGTCGATAAAGTACTTGACCAACTCAACGATCCTGACTATGAAATGTAATCAATGTTGTTCAAGGCCTTGAGAACCCAATCACCTTTGATGAGTTACATGAGAAACTCATCAATCATGAACTTTCCCAAAAACACAAATCCAACTCTTCCTAAGACAATTTCCCTGCCACTGTCAACTATGTAACTAAACACCAAAACTACCACTACCAAAACTGCTACAACCAAAATCGTCTTCCTTCTAATGTCGGCCTTCTTCCCACCACTAACCAACCTACCTACCCTCCTCCTATACACTCCCGTCAAACCTTCAAAGGTCGACGTCAATGGTGTCGAAACCAAGGTCATTATGTCTCACAATGTCCTGTTTTTCACCATCAATTCCCTAATACGATACCACCCCCCAACTCTAACCCACTTATGACTTAAATTCACGATCAATCTCTCAAAAGTCATCAATCCCCCTTTCCTCGTGCTTATGCTGCCACAACTACCGAAGTGGTGCTACCCATCGTGTGACTGATGATCTCGATAATCTTGCTCTTCACTCTCCTTATGATGGCATCGAGGAACTTATCATTGGAGATGGATCGGGCCTAGATATCTCTCACATCGATTCAACTTCTCTTCTTACTCCTACTAATAAGTTTAATCTTTCTAATATACTTCATGTGCCTTTCGTTTCTCGAAATATTATTTCTATTTATAAATTTTTCCATGATAATAACACTTCTTTCACTTTGTTACCTACTTCATATATTGTGAAGGATCTTCGCACGGGGAAACCTTTGCTTTAAGGACCAACTAAATCCGGCACTTATGAATGGTAACCTACTCGTCCCGCTGTCCACTCTATCAAACTAACATATACAACCAAGTGGCATCACCGATTAGGTCACCCATCTTATTTTATTCTACGCCATATGGGCAATGCTTTTAATTTAAACATTCCAAAGTTCGTTTCTTTTCATTGTAACTCGTGTGATTGTAATAAGAGCCATAAGTTGCCATTTTATCAAAATACCGTCGAGTCTAAAGGTCCACTTGATGTTCTTTATAGTGATTTTTGGACTTCTCCCACCATTTATTATGATAGTTACAAATATTATCTTATATTTGTTGATCACTACTCAAAATATGTGTGGTTTTATCCCCTTAAATACAAAAATGATGCCACTAATATTTTTCTTAAGTTTAAACTCTTGATCGAAAAACATTTTCAACGCCCCATAATTACCATTTTTAGTGATAATGGTGGCGAATATATTGGTTTACATCCAACCCTCGAGTCTCGTGGCATCATTCCTTTAACCTCCCTTCCTCATACACCTGAACATAATGGTTATTCGGAGCGTCGTCACCGTCACATTGTTGAAAATGGTCTTTCCCTCCTTACTCACTCTTCTATGCCACGTAAATATTGGCCTCTTGCTTTTGCTACCGCTTGCTATCTAATAAATCGTATGCCCACTCCGACACTTCAACTCAAATCACCATATTATAAACTCCATGGCCATGCACCTAACTATCATAAACTATGAAGTTTTGGATGTCTTTGTTATCTATGGTTACGCCCCTATACTTCAAATAAATTCGAATTGCAACTCAAATCAAACTTGAATTCAAACTCGAACTTGAATCAAGCTCACACATTGAAATTTATAAAATTTTAGGGTCTTTCTCTTATAAATTTTAAAACTTAAAGGTGTTCTCTTAGTTATTATAAAACTAAAGAGATCAACTTCAAACTTTATCATCAAAAAGACAAAGTTACAAATTTCATTCACATCTCTATCTTTTTATAACATATTTTCTCATTTCCTTTACTATCTCTCTACCAATATGGGACAATTTTACTAACTATTTTTATAGTTTTTCTTTGTCTTTTTTTAATTGTGGTTTTAACTAAAAAATAATTGATTAGTTTTTATAATTAAAAAATGTATAATTTTGTTCAAATACCATAAAATATAAGATATTTTAATTATTTATATTTTATAAATTTTATCATAAAAATCATTATTATATTTTAAAAATAATTGAGTACCTCACGAGCTTTTCGAGTCGAGTATTGGGTAGCTTGATTCGACTCGTTAATATGTCGAGTCAAGCTCGAGTTCAAGCCGAGCCTATTCGAGTCGAGTGTTGACCGAGCTTTGACTGAGTCGATCTCGAGTAACTCGCAAGTTGTCTCGTACTGTTTACACCCCTACTTGAAGCGAACTCAAATTTTGATTGAGATGGTGATTTGACATCATTGTATTATCAGTTTCTATTGCTTTCTTGGCGCTCCTCTCAATTCTTGGCTCAACAAGAAACTCTTCTTAACTGTTCACATAAGCTTGAAGGTTGAATTAGGGCTGCAAATGAGTTGGGTTAGACATGTTGAAGGCATTTGAACAACCCAATCCAATGCTTGTGGTTTAAAAAAGCTAATTCCAAACCATGCGGGTTGGGTTGGTCGGGTTGAAACTTTGGTACATTATTTTACAATCTAGCTAAACGTTTATGTCCAAACAAAGTAGAATTAAAATGATAACATATAAAAAAGACTATCAAGCTCAAAAATGAAAGTTGAAGCAAATAAGAAAGTAAATTACTGTTAAAATTGCAATATAATTTTGATTATAGCTAATTATGGATTGGTCTAATCTCTAATGTCCATATGTTAATCAAACGTCTTAAGAATCATATTAAATCCATAGTATATAAAGACATGAGGTTTATCGGTATGGGTTGTGTTCAAATGAAATGACTATAACCCAATTCCAACCCAATGCAGGTTGGAATTGGGTTATAGTCATTTTATTTTAACATAACCCATACCGATGAACCTACTATGGATTTAATATGATTCTTAAGTCATTTGATTAACATATGGACATTAGAGATTAGACCAAAAAAAAAAACACAGTATTAATGGTTTGATATGATCCCCAACATAATTTTATTGAACAACTGATTGACATAAATCATAATTTGACTCTGTTTCGCTTAGATGCATTTAATATGACGTAGATTCTTACTCTCGTTTAAAATTTCTTCTTGTTTACTTTGTATTTATTTTTAAGATGGTCTTTTAAAATATAACGAGTTCCATAGTAAGTATGTAATGTGTGAAACCGAATCTTTTCAATTCGTATGAAGAATCTCCATCATGTAGTCAACAAAAAACACCCCCTTGTCAGACAGATGATTCTCTTAATCTTCGAAAACTCAAACACATCTTACCCTTTTGAAAACTAGAATTCTAATCCTATTTTCCAAATGCCTGCAGTTTCACAATCACTCTTGACTGCTAATGCTTAACGATATAAATCAGTTTAAATAACCTGCCTATATTTTGCATAAAAACAAGTTATCTTGTCTCCGGTTATAAAAGACGATAATCAATTGTTCCGTAAATTGAACTGTATAATATCATAACTTTTCTTGTTTTACAAGAAGGAATGAAAAATCTCTATTAAGTTATTCTTAATAAGTCATCTCTCTTATTCGATTAATCCTCACGGATATCAAAGCTTTTTATACACCGATCATGATTTAGCTTAAAAAAAGGATTATTCAACAAGACTCTGTCTTTATTTTGTAAAACCCTAACAAAAATAATGTTTGAAAGTGGTCATAGTAACGTTTTCCTTGAAGTCATCAAATTTCCTGTCTCCCTTCTCCTCACGTGCAATGCACGTGAGAGCAACACCAAATAGTCAAATACATATGCCCCAACGGCTACTTGAAGCTTTTCTGAGGCTCCTAAAGCCTTCAGCTTCTCTTGCACAATTGACCGTTGTACCATGCTTCATATATAAACCCTAATCGGACCGTTATCATTACTTTCCACCAAAAGAAAACCCCCAATTTTTCCAACAAGGAAAGGGCTTTTTCTTTCGATTAAATACAAATTAGTAGCTTCAATCACAAAATCCACAAGTTATTTTTCAAAAAAAGAAGAAGAAGATGGATTCGAGTCAAAGGAGAAAGAGTGGGATCAATCTCCCAGCTGGGATGTCGGAGACATCTCTACGTCTCAACACCGGCGTCGGATCTCCGTCTCCTCTTATCAGAACCCTATCGTCTCCGTCACCTCGAACAATGTCGCCCCGAACCATATCCAATTTGACGTCATCTCCATCGTCCAAATCCACCGGAGCCTGCAGCGATCGGTTCATACCTTGTCGCTCGTCTTCCAGACTTCACACATTCGGATTACTGGATAAAGCATCGCCGGTGAAAGAAGGCGGAGGAGGGAACAATGAGGCGTACTCGAGGTTATTAAGATGTGAATTATTTGGGCCTGATTTTGGGTTTTCTTCTCCTGCAGGTACGACTAAAGGGTCGAGTTCGCCGGCGAGCAGTCCAAGCAAGAACATGTTGCGGTTCAAGACGGATAGTTCGGGTCAGAATTCTCCCTATTCGGGTTCAATATTGGGTCAGGATAACGGGTTGAGTTCGGAGTCTGCAACTCCACCCAAGCCCCCTCGCAAGGTGCCAAAAACACCCCACAAGGTAACAACATTAACACTCCAATTTTGACTTTATTGTGTTTGACTTCTAAAGATATTGAACTCGTATGATGTGATATTTTATTAATTTTTTTATATTAAAAGATATTTTTATTTTGATTAGGTTTTGGACGCACCCTCGCTTCAAGACGATTTCTACTTGAACCTTGTGGATTGGTCATCACAGAATGTACTGGCGGTTGGGCTAGGCAGCTGCGTTTATTTATGGACCGCTACAACCGGCAAAGTCAGTTTAATTTAATCACCTACTAAAAACGTTAAATTTTACAACACTTTTGTTTTGACCATGGTTCATGGTGCAGGTGACCAAGTTGTGTGATTTGGGTCCTAACGATGGGGTCTGCTCCGTTCAATGGACCCGAGAAGGGTCTTATATATCTGTCGGTACCAGTCTTGGAAAAGTTCAGGTACCCATCTCTGGTTCTTGTGTTTTTTTGGGTGAAATAACAATGAATCTGAAGCTTCTTTCCATAAATAGGTTTGGGATGGGACTCAGTGCAAAAAGGTTCGAACCATGGGAGGACATCAAACAAGAACCGGCGTTTTGGCTTGGAGCTCACGTATTTTATCCTCCGGAAGTCGAGATCGTAACATACTTCAACACGATCTTCGTGTCCCAAGTGACTACATTAGTAAGCTTGTTGGCCATAAATCAGAGGTGATTAAACGTGAAATTGATCTTGATTTTCATAGCGAAAATATGTGGGAAAGACGTGAATCTAATTAAATTGTCCATCTTTGATTGTTTATTTAGGTATGTGGGCTTAAATGGTCTCATGATGATCGAGAACTAGCGTCCGGTGGAAACGACAATCAGGTAAACTATTTTTACAACACAGAAAACCACGAAGTTTAGAGGAACTTTCATAACAATACCATTTGTGAAATTGTTGTATAGTTGTTGGTGTGGAATCAGCATTCCGCGCAGCCGCTTCTGAAACTGACCGAGCACACGGCTGCGGTCAAGGCGATTGCATGGTCACCGCACCAGAGCAACCTTCTGGTCTCAGGTGGTGGGACTGCTGACCGGTGCATTCGGTTTTGGAACACGGGCAACGGGAACCAACTGAACCATGTTGACACGGGGAGCCAGGTGTGTAATCTGGCATGGAGCAAGAATGTGAATGAACTGGTGAGCACACATGGGTATTCACAAAATCAAATAATGGTGTGGAAATATCCGACATTGGCAAAGGTGTGTGATTTTCACCACTGGTGATGTGTTTGTTGTTTTGTTGAATCAAATATCTTATATGTATAGGCTGTATGTATAGGTTGCGACTCTAACTGGACATAGCATGAGAGTTCTGTATCTAGCAATGTCACCGGACGGTCAGACAATAGTGACGGGGGCAGGTGATGAAACACTCAGGTTTTGGAATGTGTTTCCGTCTGTGAAATCTCCGGCACCGGTAAGGGACTCGGGACTCTGGTCGTTGGGAAGAACTCAAATCAGATGATGATGGTGATGGTGATGATGATGATACAAGATTCAGATTGTAAATTTTATTTTCTTTCCCAATATAATATATATATATACACATAAAATATATATACATACATACATACAAACAAAAATTCTTTATAATTGTGTTAACTTTGAAACCAATGAGTTATCTTTGTGAGTTGTTATACCATGTATCAACCAACTATATTATATGGTGTGAACTAAATTAGAACCAACTTTTTTCGATTGATACGGTATTATACTATCTAACATTTACCTAACATATTCATTCATATGTGTTGAGATGGCTTTGACTGAAAGCTGATTAAGATAAAAGATTATTTATTTATAATATATAGATGACGTGAAGAAGAGGAATTAGATCCATTTTTAATAAAGTAATGCAATTAATTAACTTTTTCTTTTTTCTTTTAATATTCAATATTTAATACATTTTTACAGGCTTTAATAAAAATTAAATTTATTTTTATGATTTTTTTTTGGGAAAAAGGATTTCAAAATATTTTGTTGTATGTTTGATTGATTTAACTTTCTATTTGGAAGAATTGCAAAAACTTAAATCTTATTATTTAATGTGTTTATAAATTGAAATTAGAAAGAAAAAAATGTACATATTTCATTTGAGATTTTTAATATAAAAAATCAAAATAAATATATATAATATAAAATTAAAAAAGGAGAATATATAATCATGTGTTCATAGACGGACCTAGAGGAGTCGTTAGGTGCCACGTGCCACCATATTGTTCTTCTGTGGTAGGGTAAAAAAGTTAGGTTCGTGACAAGTACAACCGTTTTATTCTAGAAAATATATCCATTTTATATCCAAAAATTTTTGGGTTACGTGTATAGTACAACTACAGAGCATATCCTTTTTCATTTGCTTTCATGCATCCAAACACAATGTGTCAAAAGAATGGTATTAACTACATGAAACAGGAGAAATGTAGCACAGTTAGCTTCAAGATTGTACAACTGCCAATTCCTCTCTTTCCTTTCCAAATTAGTCGCAACAAGTAATCTGCACTAATAATACACAAACCACCTATCTTATTTTTCTTTTCTGTACATCAATTCCATCGTTCAAATGCCAACAAAGTCTAGACTCGAACATTGCGGTTGGGTCTGGTGCTTCCATTGAGACCAATAAGCATGTGCAGCCAGGACGCGGTCCAAAAGATCCTGCGGCACAGCCTCTCCCCTCCTTTGTTGCGGAGAGATGCTTGCGGTGTGAACCAGTGTTTTCCATTTATCCTGTATGCAAAACCAATAATGCCCATTAAACATCACTAACACACATTCTAGTGTTTACTAGCTTCAAAATCAACATAATACTACTAACTTTATAAACATAGTATGGTCATTTGTAGCATAGAAGTAGATTTGTTACCTTTAAGTCCACATAAGTTCGATGATTTGCATCATCAAAAGAACGCAATTTAACATCACGCCATCTGCAAGATTTAGATTAAAATCTAGTGTGAGTTAAGGTTATATCTAGATGGCATGATTATATGCTTTTTGTAAGTCAAGTCATACCTTCCAGTTCCAAGTGTTTCAACTGCTTCCACAAGTGCTTCTACTTCTGATACAGAGAACGGCCTCCTGGTTCTACGTTGTGAAACTTCACAACTCTTTGTTGGTTTGTGGTCAACCGGGACAATTGAGAGTGCCTCAGCTTTCACAATAGCTTTGGAATCTGCCACTCTTTCTTCGGTTAGTACTTCGCTTTGTAAGGCTATATTTTCATGATTGTTATTAGACGCTGGAGGAAGATCCAGAGAAGAATTCGAAAATCCCACATCCATAATGGGACTGCCTTCAGATCTGACATTAAACGATTCTTAAATGGAAAGTCGACTGTATGATGTCACGAGATCAGGAAAAGATATATTCTATATTACCTTGATTGCTGTAGACTAGTGTCACATAGTATTGCCAATGGAGGTTCTTTCTGTATCGGACATGGAAAAGCATGGGGAAACCTAGGCTCCAAAGTGAATCCCAAAGTCTCAAGGTCGCAATTCTGCGAGATACCCATCTGTTGTAGGGTTCTGTTGTTGTCTCGGACCTTTTTGCCATCAACAAGTATCCCTACATGTAGTCCACCTACTAGAATAGCCGTAATAGCCTCCATAACAGTCCTCTGCGGAAATAGTTACAACCACAAACTACAATTAAGGGATTTTCGCTCTTCAAACTGACGAAATTATACAAATGAAACGGAATTTTTAAAAAGAAGAGATCATGAGTACCTTCAATGAACCTACAGTGGCTGTCTCTGGTATCTCAACATACAGTTCTGGCACCTCAAAGGACTTGATGCTAAGTTTCACTGGAAATAGAACAGCATAACAAAATTAGGAAGCTGAATGACCAAGATCAAGGGAACAACAAAAGTCCAAGAAAAGGAAGAACCATTATTTGAAGCATTGTTTGAGCTATGATGAAACAGCTTCCTCCTTTTAGAACCCGCCTCTGCGTATTTACCACCTGAAAGAACCAAGAAATGATATAATTACATTAGAACGAGATCTGCATGATCTGTGAAATTGCATGAAAACTAAAATGCAAGAAAAGATTCAGTGCACTAGAATCTCCACTTACTAGTACTGTTAGTGACTTCATCATCTTTCTTTGGCATTACCTTCCGGTATCTAGATGTCAACATCTTCCCTATTCTTCTGTATCCAGCATGTGACTGAGACCTAAACGCCCTCTTTTTGGTGCCATGCTGATTGTATCTAAAAGAACTTTCGTCGTTATCTATAATACTCATCTTTACATTTCCCCCACGTCTTGTAAAACAAGAAACGGGATCCTTATAAAAAGGTAGATGTACGCTACTATATGATTTGTTTAGTACACGGGTATTTACACACGATTCCGCTGGGTCCCTGAAAGTCAAGTTTCCACTTTGTTTCCCTAATGGCTCGGTCTGTATTTCAGCTATATTATTAACCAAATTAAAATCACATATACCCCCATGATCAGGGGCATTTCCTTCCAGTTTATCTACATTCTCACCTTCTGATGGTTCCAACTTCACATTGTTCCCAACTTTCTTTAAAAACCCAGAAGTTCTAACATCAGAAACATGTTCCAAACCAGAATCATCATCTGACTCTGGTGATTTGATCGTAGGAGGCTCTAAATTCCATTCCAGATTAGTGGATTCAGTGACTTCAGGCTCTTCCTGCTTTACAAAGTCTTTAGCATTAACGCTAATCTGTCCTTTTCGTTCTGGAGTAATGCTTGAAGTAGAACTTTCACTCTCCTGCAATAACTTGTCTGCTACAGCTGCCAACAAGTCAAATGCGCATAATTTGCCCTCTGACAATTTCCTAATTGAACTCCTCTAAAGAAACAACAGAAAAATATATCAATAAAAGTTTCAATAACTCGGAGGGGAATAGCATTAAAGGATATACTCACCCTTAAGGATCTGGGAGCTTTAGGTACCACGGTGGATTGGAAACCATCAAATCGTCCATAATATATACTCTTTTTCAACACCATATCTTATGCATACATGCCAATAAGAGATCACCAACCACAATGAACAGCTGACCTCAGCCTATCTATAATTCAATTACTAGAGAATCAGAATCTTTATTCTTTACCATATAAAAAAGATTTATTTCATTGATCTTTCAGTAACACAAACACAATTGTATGTAAATAATCATCACACAACACTTGTTCATCAATCTTTACGTCCAATATCAAGTTAACAAGAAAACATTGCTACCAAACTTGCACAATGTAGTTAGATGTAAATATCATCTAACAAAACGGATGGAATCCCAAGTACGTCTTTGGTAACACAATGAAAATTTCCACAGAAAGATAAAAGTTTCAACCAAGAAAAACTAGATTTTCTGATCATATTATAACCAGCCAGGAGTCAACGGTTAGGCTTGAACTCCCCTAGTTCATATTGCAAATAACCCATCAAGATAAAAATAGATCATCTTGTTTTAAATCAACTACAAGTTCTTGAGCAGAAATAGGTGATCCAAAGATCCATCTAACCTTGTTCATCGACAATCTGGCATGGTAAATAGTAGAATAAAAGGAAAAGACGATCTAAACCTTTGTTCCCCGAAGCTAGATAGATCCCATAATTGGATTTGGGAGGTAGATCAATCAATAATGGGAAACTTTAGGATAAAATCTTGTGAAAGGTGGGCTTAGTCCCACATACAAAATCAATGCTCGAGTTGTTCTAAACACTTTAACACATTGAACAAAAATGGAAACCAAACGGGGAATTAATATAAAGTCAAAACACCATGCAACTTGGGTTCATTGATTTAATTCCATAAAAATTGATAATTAAACAACATATTTCATTTATGCGCGAATTAGATCAAAAGATTGCATCACAACAGGATCAGACAAAGAATAGAAGATGGTACAGAACCCGATCCAAGAAGTAAAATTGAGCAAAACAACAAAACCCCGGAAATTTAGCTTAAACCCAACAGAGATCGGACGAAATCAAGTAGAAAACAGAAATTTAGAGAACCCACAAGAAGTAAACAAGAATGAAGATCACGGAAAAGAAAGAAGAGAGATCGGTTAAAATTACCTGAATTTTGTTGATCCGCGTAATTGTCGTTAGGAATTGAGATTCCTAGAAACAAATTACACAAGTAGCCGATAGCAATCTGAAGAATTTAGCTAGTATAAATGTAATTTATGGAGGGAGAAATTGAGAGAAAACTACGAGAATTAATGGTAGAATGAAATGAAATAGAAAGAAAGCAAACTGTGAGAAGGAAAGAAAGCGCTTAAACCCCTTACCCCTCTCTCTCTCTCTCTCTATATATATATATACATATATACAATATACATAATTATATATTATATATAAAAAATATAATACATATGGATTGAGGAATGGTGTGTGAAGGGTAGAAAGGTAATTTTGTGGAGGAAGAGCAGGTGACCATAAACCTCTCTAATCTGGATTCTGGAGGGAGAGGTTTTTTTGCGGACCACCTCATCTCTTTTGAGCACATTGGATAGCTTTTGACACGTGTGGGGGGTTTTACGAGTTTTTCTTTTTCCTTTTAAATAATTTTAAAAGAGTATATTCTTTTTTTTTATTCTAAAGTAAGGGGTTGTTTGTTTACCTCTTAATAGTTTTATTAAGATGTAATCTATAAATCGTTAAGAAGTGAATCTTGTTTGGCAAAAAAAATCTGCCTCTTAATGGTTTTAAAATTCTCTGAATGATTTTGTGTCGTATGTCTCCCTTAACCATTAAGAGCCCTAATTTTATTATAAACAATTATCAAACAATTATATTTCATTTTACATTATATCATGAAAACCTCTTAATCATTCTGATCACCTAATGATTCTGGACAAAACCATTAAACAACCCCTAGAATTCTGATATAATCTAAAATAAAAAACATTACATTTACGATAATTTTTATTGGTGTAAAAAGCCATATATTTTGGGAATCCACTAATCACGATTTTGCCAAGGTTATCGAACCATGATTTTCGTGATTTATTTATTTTGGAGTTTAAAGTAATATTTTTTTATATATTTAAAGTCTATTTTTAGTTAAGATTCATCTTCTTTTTTAGGCTATCGAATACTATTACCTAAATATCTGCTTTATTTAGGGTTATTGAATTTTGATTTGAGTTAATTAAAAAGTTTCCATGGGTTTCTAGACTATTCCTAATTTATTTATGAGTTTTAATCATATTGATCATTTATTTCTTTAAGTTAACATAAATATATGTGAAACAATATCTTAAATTATAAAAAATTATGTAAACTTTTTATATAGATATCGTAATCATAATAAAAGAATGATTATGCACAAAATATATCACAAGGGGTGTGTAGAGAGTTAGCAGATCCAATTAGATAAGACTGATTTGATCAGAACCAACTGGCCATAATTATATATCTAAGTGTAGTTGAATTGTATCGGATCAAAAATTTCAACATTCAAATTGGACCAATCGATATTTGAATGGTAGTCCATAATCCACTAAGAACCGATTCAATCCAATAATCATCCAGTAACCCATCGAATTACCATCCGATTTATAAATAAATATAATTAATTATATTTTATGATATTGTTTTTAGAAAATATGCGTATGTCCTGCTTTTTAAGACATTCAGAAAAATACATGAATAATGGTAGATTCATTGTTTGAAAACTTCTTCAAAATAGTGGATGGATCCAATCTACTCAAACAGATACCCAATAATAATATCCAGAGGATGGAACCGGTTACCATTGATTAGATCAGTTGTCTAATGTTAATTGGACCGTATCAAGGTAAAACCCAGTATCAAATAAATGATTGAACATGATCAGATCAGTCTAAATTGGTTGAATTTTAACCAACGAATACCCTTGATTATAATGACAAAACAAGAAATTAACTTTGTAAACATACAACAAAAAGCATGTTTCTTGTATTACACATCTTGGTTGGATGATAACGACATGAAAAAGCAATCGAAATTTTTGGCGATATGACATCTCAATTACAACAAGGACTAAAAACTTTTAAAAGAAAATAAAAAAATAATCAAACATATATTTATTTAAATAATTAACCTAAAAAAATTATTATTGCCATTTATTGAAGTAAAATGATAATGTAATATGATAATTAGTCGTATTTAATTTTTATATTGTTTAGCTGAATTATTATTTGAATATATGATAATTTTAAGAAATAGACAGTATATGTATTTAGTGGGTATCTTTTTAATATAAGCTAAGACGGTAAATTTGAAACGTTGTTGAACACGTCCTAGATTAATGATATAAACATAGGTATCGTGAGTATGTAGGGCATTTATTAAGATGTAGAAACATCTCGTTAATAAAGCAAAACATCAACATAAACAAATATGGTTATTGTATTATTGTAGTCCTACACCGAATTGTTCTACAAATTGCTTCATAAATGATTAAAAAAAATAGTGATAAAAAAACCTATGATCGAGTTCCAGTCATAAATATTGCGTGTCTGTTGTATTGATAAACCTTATTTCTCGAAAAATAATTTAGTTTAATTTTTTTTTTATAAAACTTTGGCTTTTCTTAAGAAAAATAATTAAATTAATCATTTCAAATATCTATAAGGGAATGTTTACCAAACACTTACCCGGTAAGTGCTTACCGGTAAAATTTATTACTATTATTTACTTACCGGATACACCAAAACGACATCGTATACAACAATTTACCCGGTAAACGCTTACCGTGGTAAAAGTCGTCGCTCATACTTATCGGGTAAGACTTTTGGTCTTTGTCTCGTTCTTACCGGATAAGATTCTTGGTCTTTACCATATTCATATCATCATATAGGTAATGTAATGTTATTTGGTAAACGTTTGGTAAACGACCCTAAATGTTTTCAATTCTTGACAAAAACAAATTTACAGCAACATAAAAATTGATGAAAAAGAAGGTATTAGAGTGAGATAACAACCTAAAATCGGAGGTTGTATTTAAATATGTTATGTTTGAAATAGACAACACACAAGATCGCGTGGCCTAATGGATAAGGCGCTCGCCTCCGGAGCGGGAGATTGTGGGTTCGAGTCCCACCGTGATCGCTTTTTATTTTTATCTCTTAGATTAAGTTACAGATTTCGTCCCTGTAAAATTTGGAAGTGTCATTATTCTACTTTTAGTTTTGTTACATAGTTGGTCCCTTCACTTAACTCTATTAAAAAAGTTCTGTCAAATGAAATGATTTTTTGGACTTCAGTTTATTTTTTCATCCATGAAATGGTTAGTTTGTTTTTTGGTTCACTTTTATGCGATGAATATTCATTTGGTATGGGCTTGTTTAGTTATTTTGTTTTTTTATCTATACTATATTATATAGTATTTGATAAATATTTTTAAAAATTATTTTTTATGTATGAAGTATTGTTTATTGATGTATATTATTTAAAATTCGATGTTTCAAGTAAATTATGTGTGAGTATAACTTATTAAAACTTTATGTTTGAATTCGTGTAACTAACTGCAGATAAACATAAACAATTACATGATTAACATCTCATTTTAAATATAAAAAATTTAAAATATAATTAAGATAATTATTGAGTTATACTTATAACGGAATATTTAATTATTATCCTTATAAAAATTATATTATTAAATTGAAAATAAATTATTTCGATATTAAACCTAAATCAAATTATAATAAAATATTTGAATTAAAGAAATTACATAAAAAACGAGAATTTTTAAATAGTTAATTTGATACTAATATTGATATATTATTTTCAAATTATTATGAATATAAACATTATTACTTTCTTAAAGTCACATAAAACCGTATTATATCGATCGAGACAAAAAAAATAAAACGAAACAGTATATCGATGTATCTCGCTGCATTGCACGAGTATCCTTCTAGTATAAAAAATTATGTTTGTCATGCAAAGTTTTTATTGATTAAGAGGAGAAACCAAACTCATTATAAAAATGAAAGCCGAGTTGAGGGACCAAATTTGTTATAAAAATGAAAGTTATCTCATAGTAAATGTAAATGGACAAAACTATCCTCGCTAAGTACACTCTAATTGACAACGCTACTAAAAAGGACCTTATTCGTTGTAAAAGTGAAACCACACACCTATCCTTTGTTAAAAATTCTATTCCATGACCTTACTCGTTAAAATATGTAAACCAAAAGTAGGATGCAAGGAAACTCACATCTTACGGAAAACCCGTTACTCGAACTTGATTTAACTGTAGATCCCTAAGTTTGAACTGGAATGGAGAATCTTCAAATTTATAAAACGGGAATGGGCCAGGGATGGGGATACCCTTCATCCCCGAACCCAAATATTAATTAAACATTTCCATGTACATCGTAATAAAATGAAAAACCTAATGAATATATATAACGTATAAATATAAGTATATTCTAAAACTATAAATATATTTGTAGTGAAATTTCGGTGGACTTTGATTATAAGACAAAATATCATACATTATCATCTAAAACTATTCTTGACTGCTTCAAAGTCACCCGGATGGTTCTTGCTATGGCACAAACAGTGTCAAATGCAATTTCAATGCAGATTTATCCGCATGGCACCCACATTTCACGTAGTTTCTCATCCCAAAATCCATTTTCTTGAGTTCCACCGAACATCCAATATATAAGTTGCTCAAGGGAAAACGAATTTAATACATCGGGAAAGGAATTATAAATAAATTCTAACCTTATCAAGATAGCTAATTTCGAGATAAAATTATATCAGCTGATTTCCCACTAGGATTAGTGTGTAACTTTAACATATTAATCATTGGTGTTTTCATGGGTGAATATTGATTGAAATTAAATTTCTTTGATAGATCTTTAACATATTTAAGTTGATTTATGAAAATTCCATCATTTGTCAGTTTGACTTGTAAGCCTAAGAAAAATGTTAGTTTAAACATCATGCTCATTTCATATCTGCTTTGCATAAGTTTTGAAAAAAATCACAAAGAGAGAAGTTGCTTCCACCAAAATTTATGTCATCTACATAAATTTGTACTAGAATGACACCACCTTTATATTTTCTAAAAAAGAGGGTGTTGTCAATCCTACCACGTGAGAAATTATTCTCAAGAAGAAAAAAATATAGTGATTCAAATCATGTACATGGAGCCTGTTTGAGGCCATAGAGAACTTTATCAAGTTTTTATATGTACTCAGGATGCTCTGAATCTTCAAATCTTGAAGGTTCTTTGACATATACTTCTTCTGAGAGTTTTCCAGTTTAGGAGAACACTTTTGAAATCCAT